ACTCTTCTTAGGAGTGGTCTCACTGAGTCAGGTTTGAGGCAAAATGGTAGGGGACAGCACACGGCAGAAGCTTTTCCTAGAACAGATGCAGCAGGGCAAGCAGATTCTGGCCTCGGAGGTCATCAAGCCAGCACCTTACACCAGCACTAAATTCACATGAAAATCTTTAAACAAAACTATAATATACAAAACTCTGAAGACGAGACCAAAAGGGGCATTTCAGTACAGCCAAAGGTTTACCAGATTCAAAGAAGGATTAGACAATTATATAAACAGCTAGATCATCAATTACATCAAACAAAGAAATAAGGGGGAATATAAACCCTTTCAATTCAGGGAATAAAAACCAACCACTAACTGATGAGGAGGGCTCTACCAAATTCACAGTCCATTTTGGTCAATTTCATGGTCATAAGATTTTTAAAAAATTATAAATTTCATGATTTCAGCTATTTAAATCTGAAATTTCATGGTGTTGTAATTTTAGGGGTCCTGACTCAAAGGAGTTGGGGGCACATCACAATGTTATTGTAGGGGGGTTGCAGTACTGCTACCCTGATTTCTGCACTGCTGCTGGCGGTGGTGCTGCCTTCAGAGCTGGACAGCTGGAGAGCGATGGCTGGTGGCCGGAAGCCCAGCTCTGAAGGCAGAGCCACCGCCAGCAGCATCACAGAAGTAAGGATGGCATGGTATGGTATTGCCGCCCTTACTTCTGTGCTGCTTCCTGCAGAGCTGGGCCCTCAGTCAGCGGCCGCCACTCTGGCTACCTAGCTCTAAAGACAGCAGTGCAAAAGTAAGGATGACATGGTATGGTATTGCCACCCTTACTTCTGCATTGCTGCTGGCGGGGCGCTGCCCTCAGTGCTGGGTGCCCGGCCAACAGCTGCCACTCTCCAGCTGCCCGTCTCTGAAAGCAGCGCAGAGGTAAGGTTGGCAATATCACAATCCCCCTAAAATAACCGTCTGATCCCCCCTGCAACTCCCTTTTGGGTCAGGACCCCCAATTTCAGAAACGCTGGTTTCCCCCGTGAAATCTGTACAGTATAGGGTAAAAGCATACAAAAGACCAGATTTCATGGGGGGAGACCAGATTTCATGGTCCGTGACACGTTTTTCATGGCCTTGAATTTGGTAGGGCCCTACTGATGGGGGTTAGGAAGAAACTTCCATAATAGTCCACTCCAGGGATTTCATGCACTCTTCTCTGAAAAAATTGGTACTGGCAGCTCTCAGGGACAGGCTATTGGGCTAGATGCCAATCAACTATTGCAGTTCCTAGGTAACAATCCGTAATTGGCCAGTCTGATAGGGATGGCTTGAACAGAATTTTATCTGACTTTTCAGGTCACTAGAACTATAGACAAAACAGGCTAATCTTGAGGGTTATCAGGAAGTTAAAATAGAACGCATCTGTGTCTCAATTATTTTCCCCTTCATTCAGATTTTGCCAACAGCCTCCTTTATCACTTCATGCAGTAACAAAGTTCACATGTCAGCATTCAGATACTTCTAAGACTCCCACCACCTTGATATCCAAGACAGGTAGAGAAAATACCTAGTGGAAGTACATATGACAAATATATCATCTATAAGATGCACTGACCTGGAGAATAGTTGAGAAACTGAAGCCCAAATTTCACCCACTACTGTTTAGGACAGTCAATGACTCTCTCTCTCTCTAACTCCCCCCTCCAGTAATTTTTTTCCCCTCCCAAATTCTTTTACCATTGGGCTCATCACACAGCAGCTAAAAGTGCAGATCTGAACCCTGACAGAAGGCCCCATCAACTCGCTTGGAAAGTGAAAGCTAAATGCAGCAGTCAGGCTGCCTGTCCTGTCATCATACCAAGCCAAGTGAGAGAGCCAATACACTCTGCTAAATAGAGTTCTCAGTGACATGTCCCTGTTAACAAATGATGCCAGAGCTGTCAGTCAGGGAAAACCTCATTAGATGCTTATTAATGTCCTCATTATTAGCCCAAATTAATTAGTCCAGCACCATCAGAAAAAGCAGAACGCTTCACTCCCCACCTGGCATAAAGGCAGCAACACAACCCAGAAAGGGTCAGTCTTCATTAATTACTCATTAACTTCTTTGACCCTCTGCAGCAACGACTTCCCTAGCAAGTTACTTCTGTGCCAGACAAGCCAGGTCAAGGAAATCAATCCCACCCACAGATGGTGAATGAAACACACACCACCTTCTGGTCCTGCTTTATCCTAGGTTTCCAGACAAACTGCATATAGAACTCTACTGCCCAACAGTGACAGCTGCTGGGGAAACAAGGAAGTGAACAAGATTATGAGACACCAACTAGCTAGCTAGCACAGGGATTTCTTCTAGCCCTAATTTGCACCTTGATACTTTAATGAAACGGGGCTTAGAATTCAGTTATGAAGAACCTGCATTAGTGCTCCCTGTTCTTGGGCTCTGGTGCTCACCAGACCTGAGAGCATGGAGGTAGGGAGGTTGGGTGGGGGTCCATCCTATGCCAGGGAAGGGTAAATCAGTGGGTGAGCATTAGCTGGCTTGCCATTGTTCTGAACAGGAATATATTTGTAAATTTTAGAATAGTGAATGGGGGCGGGGGGTGTTTGTAGGATGCCCACCCCACTCTGGGGTTACCCTTTTTTTTGGTAACGAGATTTTATGACACTTCCCTGACTTAAGAACAGCCAAATGAGCTTGTTCCAGCCTAACTGCATGTAGCATTTAATGCTGATTTATACTCACGGTTCAGCCAATCGAGCACTCTGGCCCCATTGTTTTATGGTTCACGTTCACTTCCTGATAGGTGTGAATGAACCCACAAGAAAAGTCCTGAAGGAGAAAGAGTCTTATGGCAGATGCAGGAGACAGGGACTTACAAGAAAGCACAGTACCTAGTATGGCTTCTTAGCAGTGTCTTCAAACAGGAGCTCTGCCAGGGCTCCTTGCCATAGGAATCCCATGGAACGAATTCCAAAGCAAGCCCAAGCATTAGACTGCTTGCTCCAAATTCATTTACCTTGGCAAGAAGCATCTGTTTGCACAGGTGAATGATTGACTGCGTGACTGACTGTGCACAGCTGCTACAGCCACAGCGCAGCAGTAACAACCATCTGGGACAGCTAAAACGGCCCATATTGAAGCACAGGAATCAGAGATGAAAAAAAAAAAAAGACTTTTGAGGTCACAACTAATCCACCCCCTGGGAACCAGAGCAGGATTGCTCTCTGCGGTGTACGCTCCAGTGCAGTTTTAAGTGACACTTTAGGTGGCTCAAAACCCCTCCCCTTGGACTATATAACAGCCTATGTCGTCTCCTAGCCAGAGAGTTCTGAGCGTCTTTTTTTTTTTTTTTTAATTTCACCTTGTTACTTCTACTGAGACAACACTGAATTGGCCCAGAGAACAGAAACTAAGACAGATAGTTGTACAGTGTAGAAATTAAGAGAGGGGAATTATTTTGCCAAGAAAGGAGATGAGTAAAACACACTTGAGTGTCAGTTATAATGTTGTAACAAAAACTAATCAATCCCCCCTTTTTTCTCCTCTTTCCTAGAATACGAGACCAGAGGGTATTTACTTAAAATCATTGCCCAGTAAATTTAAGACCAAGAAAGGAAGTAATCATCACCATCATGCAGTCATCTTGTGGGAGTCACTCATACAGACAGTGAAAAACTGGAGCAGGGATTTAGAAAGAGCAGAATAATTTCATCACCACTACCACCTGCTATACAAATAAATAATTGAGATAATCAAAGCTCCTGCTTCTGAGAATAAGCGGATTACCTGCTGATTACCTGAGAGAAGGAAAAGAAGAGAATTTCCTTCCATCAAACACCCCTATGAACAATACTGCTCAGCTGGTTACATGTATCAAAGTAGGAGATTTCACCTTCCTCTAAAGGCATCAGGCAATAGCCATTGTCGCAGAAAGGATTAGACAAACTTCCTCTGAAGTGGCCGGTACAAGCCATTGACAGACAAGATGCCAAACTAGACAGACCATCAGTCTAACCCAATATGGCAACTCCTATGTAATATATCAGAGTGGCTGGACCAACAATATGAGCCAGCCCAGACAGCGTTTGAAGTGCAGATTCAATTGAGCTGCTCTGCTCCACTTGCCACATCTGAAGTTTGTAAGAAACTCACTTTCTAGTACTGCACATACTAAATTTGGGGGTGATTAAGATGACTCTCTTATCCAGAGCATAGATATACTCTCAGGCTGAGCTCTGAATGCCAGATTCAGCATAATGGGCTCTCTGTAAAGACTCAGGCTCTGAAAATGTTTTTCAGTCACCTACCTGCTCAATGCCACAAGAAGAAGTGTTTCTCATGGTACGAATATGAACTGCATTGGTTTAATAAAGGCCATGTATTAAAACCAGACTGGAAGTGCAGTCCTTCCCCTTTAAGATAAGATAGGCCACTGCAGAGCCCACCCTGATGTAGCTCTAAGATGAAGTTCCTTCACCTTCCTACCCCAGTGGTTGCAGTCTCTAGGCCACTCTTCGCAGGACACACTATTCTGAGGAAATAAACCATCAATGCTGTTGCTCATGATTGCTCTGTGCCAATCCTCAGGGTGGGCATTGCCTATGCTGCAGTCACCATAGTATATCGGTTGAATGCTGTAAGGTGGACATTGCAGTACACTCCATGCCCAGACATGCCAATAGTGTCTCAGTCAGACCCCTCCCGAGAGCAGAATTTGCCCCATAGAATTACTATTCAATATCCTCTCTCTCCCTACTCCACCCTCCTTCCCTTTAATGGGCAGGGTCTCTTCCCTCATCCCTCCCTACAGACACACCTTCAGAAGTTACCTCTGATACAGCAGTAATGCCTACTGAAGATTGGGGGGGAGGGGGATAGCTCATCTTTGATATCACAGAGGGCCAAAGAAATGAAAGGGTCTACTCTGGAAGCTCCTGGCAGCTCAGACTAGATGGGAAGGGTTTAACAACAGACTGAAGAGGAAGGCAATGGAAAAAATGTGTCTTACCTCCTGAGCGAATCCTCCTCTGTACTTTCCTCAGGCATTTCCTGGCTTAAGGCCTCCTGTGATACATTCCCAGGTCTGCTCGAAGCTGACTGGCTGTAAACTCTCTCCCAGTGCCCTGTCTCCTGGTTAAAGACCACTCCCACGGTCCTTTCCTCCTGCGAGTTGGAAGAGCTTCCCAGCTGCAGCCTGCTAGAGGTAGGAGCTCTGCCCTCGGTTCTCTCTGCAGGCTGCGCCTGGCTGCTGCTTGGTGGCACGCCATCAAATGTGCTTTGGACCTGCCCCGATGGATAACTGGGTGTGCTTCTTTCCCAGCGTAGTGTGTCATTGTTAAAGGTCAGCAGATTGTGACAGGCGCGACAGCGGTTCAGGTGGCCCCGAGACAAATTGGAATTGTTTTCACTGCTATGTGGAGTCTGCTGGTGGGAGGGACCTGGCCTATCAGGCTCAATGTTGTTGTTAAGCATTTCTTGAGCCTGTTGCGACTGGCTGGGCTCCCCACCAATCCCTTGATCTAGCTCTTGAAGTCGGTCATATTCCAAGAAGAACCGTCTCAAGTCGCATTGGAGCTCGTTGCGGATGCTGGCTGGATTGCTTGGGCCAGCACTACCGCTGCTGTCTGCTTCAGCCCCTGGTGCCAGGAAGCCCCTCCCTTCTGTAGCAGATGTGTACACAGAGGACTGGGAACCTCCCTCCTGCTGTCTGAGCACTGACAGCAAACTCACTGAAGAGGCACTGGTTCTAGGTGGAGGCATGGCTTCCAACTCCGAGCGAGAGCCCATGTTCAGCACTGTTCTAGTCCAGTCGGACCCTCCTAAACCAGATGCCATCTCTCTTGCAGACTGGTACCTGGAGGGATGGCCTGACAAGGGCCCACTGAGGGATCTGCGAGTTGGGCCCAGGCTAAGGTTGCGTAGGGTGTTGCCAGCAGTGCTGCTCTGAACAGTGCTGAAAGCAGAAGGCCTGTTAAGCAGACCCTGTTCCTGCTGCGCTGTGGATGCCTGGTCTGGGGGTTGGTATGGCTCTGTCTGCACAGAGGAAAAGGAAGTGCCAGTGGCCCCAGAGGAAGTGGAGGGGGCATTTTCCTGATGCGGGAAGAGAGAAGAAGGAAGTCTTGCACTAGAGCATCGACTGCAAAGGCACAACATCCCCAGGTGCTGACAGCACTCTGTTGTGGGGTAACTGACACGCTCACGGAGCCTGGTGTAGGCCGCTGCTCTGGTGTTCTCGCTGGCCGGAGGCAGTGGTGGAGGTGGTGGGGGTGGTGGAGGTGGTGGGGATGGGGTGGCAGAATCTTGCACAGTGTTTTGCTCTCCCACCTGGATGCCAGAGGAGCGTGAGGACAGCATGTGCAGGAAGTTGTGGAGGAGGGGTGTACGCCTCACAGGCTGAGACTGGAGAATAGAGCGCTGGCGATAATGTGGTATATCTGTGCTATCCACTGGGATCTCCACCTCCTCGTCACTCTGCAAAAGAAATCACCAGAGCTCAGTCACCTCACAGCAGAACCCTATACTAGTGTTAAAGGGGACAGGTGTTAAAAGCCCATAGATAGGCAATAAAAAAAAAAACAACTATATGTTGGGGGTGGGGGAGAAGACATGGAAAATTACAATAGGATCATAAGAGCAACAAGAGGGAAATCAGTAGGGGGAATCTATTCAACATCTTAGATGTCTATACACAAATGCAAGCAGTATGGGGAATAAACAGGAAGAACTGGAAGTATTAGTAAATAAGCTAAATTAAGACTTAATTGAGTAAACTGGAGACAGTTAACGGGATAAATTTCATGAGTGGAATATTGAATAGAGGGGTATAGCCTGTTCAAGAAGAACCAGCAGGGGGAAAAAGGAGGAAGTGTTGCAGTATACATCACAAATATATACATTTGTTCTGAGGTCCAGAAGGAGGTGAGAGGCAGATCATTTGAAAGTCTCTGAGTGAGGGGGACAGTGGGGGGAATAAAGGGTAACATAATGGTAAGGGTCTACTGCAGACCACCAAATCAAGAGGAGGAGGTGGATAAGGTATTTCTAGAATAACAGAAATATCCAAAATACAAGACCTGGTAGTAATGGGGGACTTTAACATCACAGAGAGCTGTTTGAAAACGAATATGGAAAAACACAGTATTTCCAGTAAGTTCTTGGAATGTACCAGGGACAACTTCTTGTTTCAGAAAGTGGAGGAAGTAACCAGGAGAACAGCCAATTTAGACTTGATTCTGACCAGTAGGGAGGAACTGGTTGTGAATCTGAAGGTGGAAGGCAACTTGGGGTCAAAGATTTCATGATTCTAAGGAAAAGAAGAAGTGACAGCAAAAGTATAAGGACAATGAACTTTAAAAAAAAAAAAGGCAGACCTTAAGAAACTCAGTGCTGAGAAGAAAATGTAAGGGATAAAAGAATTCAGGAGAGCTAGCAGTTTCTCAAGGAGACAATATTAAAGGCACTACTGCAAACTATCCTGATGTGAAAAAGATAGGAAGAACAGAAACAGGCCAATATGGTGCTATCAGGAGCTCTTTAATGACTTGAAAATCAAAAAGGAATCTTACAGAAAGTAGAAACATGGATGAATTGCTAAGGGGAAAAGATAATACAACAAGAATATAGGGACAAAAACTAGAAAGGCTAAGGCATAAAATGAGTTACACTTAGCAGGAACATAAAAGGCAATATGAAGCTCTTTAAATAAATTAGGCCCAAGAGAAAGATGAAGGAAAGCGTAGGTCCAGTATTTAGTGGAGAAGGAGAGCTAATAACTGATAACATCAAGAAGGCAGAGGTGTTTAATACCTACTCTGCTTCAGTCTGCACTAAAAAAGTTAATGGTGACCAGATTAACACAATTAATATTAACAACAAGGGGGAAAGAACGCAAACCAAAATAGGGAAACAACATGTTAAAGAATGTTTAGGTACGTTAGAATGTATTCAAGTCAGCAGGGTCTGATTAAATTCATTCTAGAGTACTTAAGGAACTTGCTGAAGCAACCTCAGAACTATTAGCAATTATCTTCAAGAACTCATGGAGGACAGGTGATGTCCCAGAGGACTGGAGAAAGGTTCTATCATTAAAAAGGGAATCATTAAAATCATTTAAAAGGGAAACAAAAAGGACCTGGGGAATTATAGACCAGTTAGCCTAACTCTCCAATTGCTGGACAGATACAGGAACAATTTATTAAACCACCAATTTAGAGGATAAAAGTGTTATTATAAGGAAAAGCCAGCATGGATTTCTCAAGAAAAATCATGCCAAACCAAAATTTCCTTCTTTGACAGGGTTGCTTTCTATAGTGGACAGGGAGAAGCAGTAGATGTGATACATCTTGATTTTAATAATGCTTTTGACACAGTCCCACATGACATTCTCATAAGCAAACTAGGGAACATGGTGTAGATTAAATTACTATGAGGTGGGAGCACAACTGCTTGAAAGACTGTACTCAAAAGAGTAGTCATCAATAGTTTGCTGTCACATTGGGAGGGCAAGTCCGGTACTATTCAGTATTTTCATTAGTGACAAGGATAACAGAGTGGAGAGTACACTTCTAAAATTTGGAGATGACACCAAACTGGAATGGATTGCAAGGACAGGATTAAAATTCAAAATGACCTTTAAAAATTGGAGAATTGGTCTGAAATCAAGAAGATGAAATTCAATAAAGATAAGTGCAAATAGTTCATTTAGGGAGGGGAAAAAATGCCCATCTACAAAATGGGGAATAATTGGGTATCTGATAAGGATTTGGGGATTATAGTGGACCACAAATTGAATGAGAGTCAACAACGTGACGCATTTGAAGAAAAAAAAAAAAAAAAGCTATATAATGCTGGGCTGTATTAACAGGAATGTTGTATGTAAGAAGTGGCAGGTAATTGTCCCGCTTCAGTTGGTACTGGTTAGGCCTCAGCTGCAGTACTGTGTCCACTTCTGGATGACACACTTTAGAAAAGATATGGACAAATTGGAGAGAACCCAAAGGACAACAACAAAATGATAAAGGGTTTAGAAATCTTGACCTATGAGGAAAGGTTTAGGCATGTTTAGACTTGAGGAAAGAAGACTGAGGGGAGGCCTGACTCCAATCTTCAAATATGTGAAGGGCTGTGATAACGAGGATGGTGACCAACTTTCTCCATGTCCGCTGAAAGTAGAACAAGTAGTAATGGGCTTAATCTGCAGCAAAGGAGATTTAGGAAAAACTTAACTATAAGGGTAGTTAAATTCTGGAATAAGCTCCCCATCCTTGGAGATTTTTAACAGGTTGGACAAACACCTGCCAGGGATGGTCTAAGTTTACTTGGTCCTGCCCCCGTGTAGGGGGCTGGACTTAACGACCTCTGGAGGTCCCTTCCAGACCTACATGTCTATGATTTTATACACATAAGTGAACAAAGGGAAGCCAGTTACAGCCCATAGACAGATAAGGACACAAACTTCTTCCAAAAGGAAAGCAGAGATACTATCCTTGGGTTGCATGAAGCTATCTAGCTCCTAATCCATAAGGAAGCCTTGTATGGACCCTGACAAACCCCATACTTTGCAGTTCCACAATAAATGAGCCACAACAAAAAAGGAAGTCAGCACCTGGGAGATTCAGCAACTGTGGGGCTCTGGTTAACAGTTCTACAGCCTAATCAAGGGCAATGAAGTTGCAGCAAAATTCTTCAGCAGGATTTCATGAAAAGTGCCAAGGAGGCCTTTGCAAATGTAGCAGGGATGGCTCTGGAGCCCCTCATCCTGCAGCAGGATCAGGATGGAAGTCACTGTCTATACTTAATCTCCCAGCCCCTATTCGTTAATGTCCCTTGTGCATGTTCCGGTGTGACCGATTTAGATGAGACACACAACTTTGAACTTAGGAAGGCGTCCAATTTTAAACAAAGCATCAGACTGCCTAGCAACAGGCTCTGGTTAGCACAGAGCACCTTGATTGATATTATCATCACCTGTTGGTTAGAAGGGTTGACAATCGCTGTGAGCAAGTAGTGTCCCAAGGGATCGAACCGTACCAGCCTGAAACAAGAACAAAGTCGGAGGCTTAGTTATCAGTTGGCATTTCACATTGACAGAGAAAACCAGATGTTCCAGGGATAACAGACTTAACACATGGGTTTATTCGAGTAGGAAGTTTTACATTTCTATAGCAGCACCTCTCATTCTGAAGTATCCCAAAGTCCTTCATAAAAGTCATGTATTAAGACTTATTCATCCACCCCTAAAATATAGCTACCTCCAAGGTGAAGACTGCAGCTGTTCAACAACATGCAGCAATACTACGCAACAGTTTAGGAGAGGGAGTTCTTGTATCCAACTGCAACTGCTAGGGAAATTTATGGCAACATAAAATAAGTACCCTAGAATTTGGCCAGGAAAGAGAGGTGTTACCATCTCTTGTGGAAGTGCCTGGGGATCTTTAATGACCATGGATTTTTGTCAGGATCATATTTTTTAAGTCATTCAAAAGAATGAACCTCCAGCAGCATAGCACCATTTAGCATCATGCTGGAGTATTGATTCAGTACTGACTCCAAGGGTCGAAAGTCATCTTCCCACAGCATCTGGCTCTCCCATCCTAGGAACAATCATACTTAACCCTGCACTGCTAATGAAATCTGAAGATCAGTCTTACAAATGCCAACCCTGTGGCAGAGTTGGGAAGGATCCCATAGCACACAATAGCCTAACTTATATTTGTTCATATTTCTGATCTAATCTTGTTCCTTTAGTTTTACTGTCCACAGTCACTGATCCACGAACTGAGCAAGAGCACTGAGAACAAGGCAAGACAATGCTCCAAGTAGCTGAAACCAAGGTCAGGGTGGAGAGGAAGTTACCTTCCGAGTGTCCTCTGCCCCAGAGAGACTGCTACATATTCCTCCACACCATGCCATTTCTCATGCTGGAAGTACAAGTGTTCTACTCCCCTAGGAATGAGCACTCACCGGACTCGCTCCATCTCACTGGCTGTCTTCACCACTGCAAAGGGTTCTCGACGACTCCAGTCCCAGAAATGGATCTCATTGGCTGTTGCAATCAGCAGGAGCTGAGCCGTAGGATGGAAAGCCAGAGATGCAATGGCATTGTTGCTGTCTGTGAACCAGCTCTCGCTTCCACCCTGGAGTGGGAAAGTGGGAATCATCAGCTACTTAACACACAACAATTTTAGGCAACTAGTTTTCTCTGTCAATGCCACAGACCCGCCCCAAAACTCCACATATAACATGGAACTGCTGTACTACTTCTGCAACAAAAAAAGTCATCATCTACTCTCATTTTACACTGCCATCTGACTCTACAGCCATAACACAGAACGTCTGGCAACAGTGACCACAGACATGCTGTAGGTAGTTGCGTCTCAGATAGCCTGTAGAACACCACATTCCAGAGCACTCTGCTAGACAGATCATTTGTCTGTGCATCAACCACTGGGCAAGTCATCAGTGGAGAAAACAAAAGTAATGGCATAGCACTTTTCCTAGGGCAGAGTGCAAGTTATTCCCCACAAGACCAGCAACAGAAAAGCAATTTTTTTATACAAACTAAGATGGAGTGATCCCCAGAGCCCTGTGGAGCTCTGAAATATGGCCCACACCACTCGTCAATACAGATGTGTGGCCTGGAGAGGAGACAACAGCCAACATGCCATGTGGCCTGGGCGTTTAAATCAACTAAAGAGTTTGTTGGAACTTTACGGTCTCCAGGAGTTTCATCTCCATATAAGACAGGGGGGTGACTGCAATCTGCTCTGTTCTACACATTTGGGACAGTTCTCAGAAAGCTGCACCAGAGCAGTTCTCAGCTGGGCAAAGTTTGGGTGCTTCAAGCGCAAACAAAATTGCTGCACTACAAATACTAAACACTTATGTGTTTCAGGAGAGACTTACATGTAAATCCCAGATTCTAACCTCCCCATCTAGGCACCCTGAAGCAATGAGTCCCGGGATAGTAGGGTGAAAGGTCACACACCACGGTGTGCGCCGATGTCCAACCAAAGAATGGACACACTTGCCCGTTTTCACCTCTGTGATGTAGATATTGTGATTCACGTGGGTGGAAGCCATGAGGGTCCTGGGAAAAGGAAAGGGTAGAATTAATGCTGGGGAGGGTGGAGAAGAGAGACAAGACAACATGTTACGCTAACTCAACCAGCTCCATCAGAGTATTATTATTATTTATTATTTGTATTAAGAATATGCAGATGCAGCCCAGACTGAGGTACATCTACATTTTAGAAATCTGGCCCCCTCAATTCTCTGTTGCTGAGAGAACCCTACAAATATATAAGGACTAAAGCTCAGAGATACAGCACACAACCAAATCCTTCCTCCCTCTCACCAGCTGGCCCAGGTCAAATGACACTGAGCTTTCTTCCCTCGTTTTCCAATTCATCCCGCTCACTGCCGTGCCCTCACCTCCCTCCATCATCCCTATTTCCAAGACATTAATCCTGCATCATTCTGTCCTGATTTTAGACTGTCAGTTCCTTCAGGCAGGCACTCTGAGATTTGGCTCAGTGCACTGGTACTTCATTGGCACTGTATAGTTTTTCGTGACACCATTTGCTCCCCAGGCCTTCCTCCTAACAACCAGAACAGCTGGTCAGAGCCTCTTCCCTGAACACTATGCAACTCTAACAGGCACTCAGAAATTAAGTGCTAACTGTGTATCATGGGCTGCATAGCTGGATAGATGACTTATGTTCTTCATCTCTGCAGCACAGAGACCTGAAGTCTCATGTCTGCTGCCAGCTCCTGATCTCTCAAGGGGCACGAGTCTTCACAACCTTTGCTGGCATAACAATGTGTTTAAACAAGTAACAAAATAGAAGTCAGTTACCTATCTGGGCTGAACGCCAGCAAGAACGTGGAACGTGGGCTGTCTGGTAGCTCAACTTTCTGAAAAAGCCAATGGAGCAGGAAACATGAGTGCCATATGATCACAGTCTCAACTCTTATCCAAACACAGACAACAAAGAACTCACTTCCCTCCCCACTACCCAGGAACCTGGATGGGTCAGATACAACATATCCAAGGGCCATATCTGACACAAAGTGGAACATCCCACAAAAACACAAATATTAATCTCAAATCCCCACCTCCAAACCTGCTGGGACAAACCCACCCGCCAGATGTGTCCTTCTGCCCCATTACCTTACCTTGCCCTCCCATTTCATCCATCGGGTTTTATCCTCCACCAGCTCCTGCAGAAGCCGCTGAGCGCCCAAGGCTTGGGTGCCACGTTCTCTGCCCCACAGGATCCGCACAGCATTCTTCTCTGGTACAACCTTCATGGCTCTCAGTAGCCACTGTTACAATAGGGACTGGGACGAGACACCAGCGGGTTCCAGATCACAAACAGCCAAGAAGCTACAGACAGGCCATCCACATCTGAAGAGGTTGACTCATGGAACTCTAGAAAGAGAGGAGAACTATATGAATGGCAGCTTTGGCTTGGGTGGAAAGAGGAAGGCTTCAAGACCTCATCCAGCAGTTCCACTACCCTCCATCACCACCGCACTTTCCTTTCTTCCATTGTCAATGCCCTGGGTATTCCATGATTCTGCATCCAGAGATTTTAATAATCCACTCCTTGGAGTTATACCCCAGAATCTAAACTTTCACCTTTGCTAAAGGTGACCTGCAAAGGAAAGAAAATTGGACTTACGCCCATTTTTGTTTCACTGCAAATGGGATATAGAATGAAGGCCTGAAAGAGGTTCTCAAAAATGCTTTTTCTGTCTTTAAAAAAAATAAAAAACCTAACTAAATATTCAGGTCCTGACTATGCTGGATGAGTTGATGGCTAGAAAACTAGTATAAATGACACACTGTATGCAGCAAGAGAGTGAAAGTTCAGCTGTTAAGAGGGGAAGGAATTTGTCGTCAGACTGTTTAATACTCTTGTTTTTTGCTCATACAGATTCAACTCTGTTAACATTTTGAATACAAGAAGTCTTTGTTAAATATTCAGTGACTTTAGTCAGTTATTAGAACTCACAAACTTTCTTTTTGTCCTCCTGCAGGTACTCCAACAAAAACAGGGAAGATGAGGATTGATGTTCCCAATATCTTTATGTTTAAAATGAAGTAGAAAAAAAAACAACCTTTAAAAAGCTTTTTGGGCCTTCTTTGTTCATCAAAAAGAAGCAATAAAGGACACACGCTATTTAAATAAGCCTTTGCAAATCTCTTTTGTAATAAACATTAGTTTCTACCCATTCCGGTTACAAAAATGTATTCTCTAGGTGACTCAAGTGCAAACTGACAGTGTTCAATTCCAGCTCTAGAGAGAGCCCAAAACAGTAGTTCAAAGAGCTCTGAACTTCCTGGTTAATCACAATAGTTAGGCTGAGTTCAGTCTTATCACATGAATGCACTTCTCACAAACCCAAACTGCCTTCCCCACCAATATGTGCCAAAAGCCATTTGAGGAGCCAGCTAAGCACACACCTCATCATCACATGATTTTTAGTTCAATGTTCTAAAACCTCTCTAACAGGAACACCATCTGTGACACTGGGCATGTCACTTCGCCTCTCTGCAGTCTCCCCCTCCCATTCCCCAACCGCTATTTGTAAGAACAGGATAACAATTTACATAAGGCCATGTCTACACTATAAACTTTGGTTGATGCAAGTTGTCAGAGTACAGCCACTCAAGTTTGTATATTGCTGGAGCACATACATACTCGGCTGCTTGCATCAGCACTGCACGTACTCAACATAAGTGCTTGTGTCAATGCAAAGCACAATGTGCCAAAGGTAGAAGTCTCAGTGTCCCATGAGCCACTGTCCAGCACAATATCTTTTGGGAAATTTTCACAGTATGTTGTGAGTTAAGTTCCTACCATACAACTTTCTCCATACCATAATGTCATCCATATCCCCAAATTTTCACACTTTATTAAAAAAAATCCCACAAACCCATGTGACGCTTCTCAGTGTCTGCCATCTCTGGCAGAAGCATGGAGCCAGCAGAGCTCTGCACTAGTTTCATGAACATTGCAAACACAGAGTGCATGATTATGCTGTATTTTCAGACACACAGGAAGGACCAGAAGAACATGGGACATGATTTCAGTAGGCAGAAGACAGCAAACAAACAACTCCAGGTTGTTGGTGGCATTCACAGAGCAGCTATAGAAAGTGAAGTGCCAGTTCTGAGCCCAAGAGATGAGCACCCACTGGTGAGATTGCATCGTAATGCAGATTTGGGCCAAGCAGTGGCCAAAGAACTTTCTGATATGAAAGGCCACATTCCTGGGTCTGTGCACCAAGCTTGCCCCATCCCTTCAGGGCAAGGTCACCAGAATGAGAGCTGCATTGACAGTGGAGAAGTGAGTGGCAATCACACTCTGGAAGCTTGCAACATCAGATTACTACTGATCAGTGAGAAATCATTTTGGAGTTGGAAAATCCACAGCAGGGGCCATTGTTATGCAAATGTGTAGGACAGTCAATTGTCTCCTACTATGCAGGCCTATCATTCTTGGCAATGTGCAGGATCTACTGGATGTATTTGCAGCAATGTGGTTCCTGAATGGCATTGGGATGACAGACAACACACATATCCCCATTTGGCACCAGCTCACTTTGCCACTGAGTACATGAATAGAAAAGGCTATTTTTCCATGGCTATACAAGCACTGGTGAATCTCAGGGATGCTTCACCAATCTCAACATGGGCTGGTCAGAGAAGGTGCATGACGCTCACATCTTTAAGGACACAGGACAGTTCAGAAAACTGGAAGCAGGCACATTCTTTCCCAACTGACAGATCACTACTGGTGATGTTTAAATGCCAGTAGTGATTCTGGGGGACCCACCCTAGCCCTTGCTCCACTGACCACCTCAATAGCACCAAGGAAAGATTCACCTACTGGTTCAGCAGGCGCAGAAGGATTGTTGACTATACTTTTGGCAGACTGAAGGGACACTAGAGGTATTTACTCACTAGAATGGATCTCAGTGAGCAAAATAGCCCAAAGGTTATAGGTGTCTGCTTTGTCCTGCATACTATCTGTAAGGCAAAGGGGGGAAAAGCTGCCACCAGGATAGAAGGGGCTGATAGAGTGGCTGTCTGCTGACTCTGCGCAGCCAGACACAAGGGCTATTACAAAAGCCCAATGTGGAGCAATGCAGCCGACAGTAGCATCCTGTGCTGGAGTAGGCTCTGGGCTGAGAACTTTGGGTGCTCCTAAGAATGGTGTAGTGTTTGCTGTACATTTAAAAATATGATGAGGTGTTTTCCTGAACCTATGAATTAAGTGGCGCTGTATACCTTATAAGCACCTTGTATTTGAGTACCACTATGCATTCTGCAATGTGTTGGGAACTACTGAAGATAATTTTATTCTCCAAAAATATAACTGAGTGGGAAAAACAGTGAAGAAAAACACATTGTGTAAAAAATACACAGGCAACGTAATGCACTTTTTTAAACAAATTATCAGAGTGGAACTTTAAAATTGGGAAGGCAGCAAACATTTCTGTCCATTTCAGTGCACAGATGTAATCCATTGGGGTTACGTATATAACAGCCATGGTTCTCATAGGTCAGCATAGGTGAAGCTATGGTTTTGCTGGCTGTAGAGTGGTAGGGGAAGGATGTGGCCTGGGGGGTGTAGGGAGCAGCAATCATAGAGTTCTCCAGAGACAGCAAATGGCGGGGAGTCTGGGATTTTTGGACCTGTAAGTGGATCAAGCTCCGCAGCATTTGGGTTTGCTGCCTGAGAAGACTTCTTATGTCCTGGTGCACTTCCCTCTCCTTGTCCTGCTGGAACTTTCTCCTGTCCTCTTTCTTTCTCCATGCTGTTGGTCATCCTCCAAGCCCTTGGTTCCTGGTCCAATGCAGCACTGGATTGCAGGATTTCTCAGAACACGTCCTTCCTTGTCCTATTCCTTCTCCACCTCATCAGGGTCAGGCATTAGGCAGGTGTGGAGGGGGCACCCCATAAAACCTTCGGGCCAGAAGCTGCTGATATAAACAGACATGTGCCATTGGATTTACAATCACAATGGAAAGCCAAAGATCTGTTTCAAACTCCCTTCCACTATTTCCAGAAACATTTTTAATAAGAAATGTTTATTGACACTTCAGCTTTGGAGGGCCTTGGCACAGCACTGCTTTCCGGCCCCAGCCAGGGTGAGTATGACTTAACAGAGATGGGGACGGGGAGATAGGATTTTCTGTAACATGAAGAGCAATAAAATGTTGGTCCCTATTCCCTGGATATGAGTATAGGGTAATTGCACTGAATATTAGCATTATTTTCAACAGGCAGTGATGGTTTTTAGCAGATCTCTCACTCCTGAGGGTTACAAAGTCACAGAGAACATAGCTGCTACTGGTGTCCCACAGCTGTATGCCACTAGCCTCTTTACTCAGCAGTGGTACCAGCCAAAGTCATTGGGGAGTGGCATGGGAAAGTGTCCTACCATGGAGGAAGAAATAAGGCTGCCATTCCTAGAAACCTTGGGGAGAAGATTGCAAAGTATGTCCAGGAAATGTTCATTGAGATCTTTCAGTAGGGTAAGAGGGACATCCCTATGTGCATAAACGAAGTGCTTTCCATGCTCCCACACCCCTAACCCAACAGGGGCAATGAAAAGCAGATGCCAACTCTACCTCGGTTTGCTGTTCCTCTACCTCTTCTTGTAAGAGTAAAACAGTGAAAAGTCTAAACCTGTGTCTTTTTAACTAGGGGAGGGGCCAGGAACCATCTTTAAATTTAAACATTGTAAAGGAAAAAAAAATGCATGCACGCACTTACCCAAGTTCCCTTCCCCTTCATCAGTGCTCGCCTGGCTACACTGTGGCAGAGTCCCAAAGAGGTCATGGCTCAGGCATGGATGAAGCCTTCTGCTGTGTCTCTTCCCACCATCCATCGCTGTTTATAGCAGGGGTCTCTGCTTTGGGCTCCTCCAAGGTATCCATGGTGGTCTGCAGGGTGCTGGTGAGATCCCTGCCAAGTATGGCATGTAGCCCAGCAGGTCAGTGGCTCAGCACCAGATTGATTTTTGGCCTCCCTGGCTTTGTGATATGCCTGCCACAGTTCCTTCACTTCCCTGCAGCACTGCTGCTGATCCCTGTCATAGCCCTTTGCCTGTATCCCCTGTGTAATCTGTTGAGAGACGTCCGTGTTTCTACAGCTGGTCCGTAACCGTGTCTGCACAGTCTCTTCTCCTCACAGGCCCAGGAGACCAAATACCTCCTGTCTAGTCCAAGCAGAAGAGCCTCTAGACTGAGCAGTGTTCTTCACTGCAGGGCCATGAGCCAGTGGCAGCTCCCATCCACCTTAAGTGCGGCTCACTAAATTCCCTCTAAGCCATACAGCATGCTATAAATAGCCATGCAGCAGCTCAAAAGGGCCACGCAGCAAGGACCTGGAGAGAAGAGAGATGGGGGTGGGC